AGAGAGAGAGAGAGAGAGAGAGAGAGAGAGAGAGAGAGAGAGAGAGAGAGAGAGAGAGAGAGAGAGCAAATCCTGCAACACCACTGGAACAAATTAAAGGCCAAGATTGCAAAATGCAAAAAGAACAGAGAATAACAGGGTTGAAAGGGACCTCGGAGGTGTTCCAGTCCACCACTCCTGCTCAAGCAGGAGACCCTATACCATTTCAGACAAGTGGCTGCCCAGTCTCTTCTTAAAAACTTCTGAACACAACTTCTGAAGGCAAGGCATTCCATTGGTTATTTGTTCTCACCATTAGGAAATTTCTCCTTAGTTCTAGGTTGGTCCTCTTCTTGATTAGTTTCCACGTTTCTTCTCTTGCCTTCTGTGCTTTTGAAAATAGGTTGACTCCTTATCTTTGTAGTACCCCCTCAAATATTGGAACACTGCAACCATGTCTCCCCTAATCTTTCTTTTCACTAGATTAATTCCTGTTCTTCATAAATTTTAGCCTCCAGCCCCCTAAATCATTCTTGTTGCTCTTCTCTGCATTCTTTCCAGTATCTCAACATTTTTATATTGTTGTGACCAAAACTGGATGCAATATTTCACGTGTGGTCTTACTAAGTCATATTTCATATGATCTTGATTCTCTATTAGTGCAGCCTAGGATTGCATTGGCTTTTTCGGCTGCTGCCACACACAATTGGCTCACATTTAAGTGATTGTCCACTAAGACTCCAAGATCCCTCTCACCGTTACTGGTATTGAATCAAGTTTCAGTTAGTTTGTACTAGGGGTGGGTTGCTAACCGGTTTACTAGCAGTTAGCTTGTGCTTGCATGCGACACTTCTGTGCATGCACAGAAGCTTTTGTACATGCACAGAAGTGTCTGGGCGGGTGGGAGGATCCTCCACCACCACTGCTACCAGTTCAGCCAAACCGGGCTGAACCGGGAGCAACCCCGCTCTGGTTTGTATCTGTAGAGTTATTTTTTCTTGCCTAAGAGTAAAATCTTATTTTTCTCTACATTGAATTTCATTTTGTTAGATAGCACCATTTTCAATCTGCCAAGATCCACCTGAATCTTGAGCCTATCTTCTGGGGTGTTGGTGCTTCTTACCGGCTTATTGTCATCTGCAAATTTGATGAGTTCCTCTTCTATTCCCTCATCTAAATCATTTATGAAGATACTGAAGAGCACTGGGCCTAATAAAGAATCTTGCCGTATCCCACTGCTTCCTTCCTTCCATGTGGATTTAGACTTCATGTTGAATATGTTTTGCCAGCCAGTTACAAATCCATCTGGTGATGGTGCTGTCTATTCCACATTTTTCTAGCTTGCCAAGAAGTAAGTTGTGGCCTACTTTGTCAAATGCCTTACTGAAATATAAATACATTATGCCCACAGCATTTCAGCCAGCACCTAGAAACAAGAGGGAGTCAAAATCCAAGAGAGAGCAGAGAGGCAAAGTGATAAACAGTAAACAGACCTGGGGCGACAATGTGTGTGCCAGCAGAGAGCGCTCTGCGTGCCACCTCTGGCATGCATGCCATAGGGTCACCATCATGGCTATATAGTATACTATCAAAAAGCCATCAGAATACGCTTCTGATATAACATAATTAAGAGATTGTTTCTTTGTTAGCTGGGCAGAGCTTTTGAGACTTGGGCATACAAGTAAAGTATAAAGTAAGAATGACAAAATTTGTCATCTTTATCACAGTAATCAAGTAATTAAATAAAAGGTTACAGCACACAAAATTGTGTACACAAGAATTGACTTACAACTAAGAAAGTGAAAGGAATCCTGCAAAAACTGCCTGAAAAAATTGGTACTGAATAAAGTTTTATTATACAACAAAGTAGATGATTAAATACAGACCAATATATCATATTAAAATAATATACATATAGTTAATTAAATACAATGAGTACATTTCAGCTATTGTCTTTTAGGACCAGTTCTCTGTCCTAACCTTTCCTCAATTTTCAGTATGCCACTCCAAGCCAAGTCTGGTCTTCTTGATTATGAGTATTCATAGGAATTTGAGTAGAAGGGGCAAAGCTGCAGAGGTGGTATTCAGCTAGTTCTGACAGGTTCTGGAGAACCAGCAGCAGAAATTTTGAGAATGGGGAGGGAATGAGGATTTTCCCCTGCCACGCCCCCAGAACTGGTGGTAAAAGTTTTTCAATCCCACCTCTGCAAAGTGTATTGTAGGATATGATTATAAGTCACATGTGTGCTGCTATTACATGTCTGTCAAACCTTTGTTATTTTACTAGATATTTTTATTACCACCATCTTTTCACGCAATAGCCAATGGCTTGCTAAAAAAATTCCATCTTTACAAATACGACTATAGGAAGCTAGCTGCCTGTTACTATATTAGTATGTTAGTGCATGTGACTCAGTACTTCATACATTTGAGACTCACTACTGTGTATATAATATACTGGAAATTCTCAGCAGCATATCTTAGACCTGTCCCTGAGGAACTACTGTATCTGGTTTTACCAATTCCTTTTTGAGATCCAAAAAAATATCTTTGCAATTATCTCAAATCACTAAAAACTGAAATCCAATGAAGCTGTTCAAAACTCAGAGCAGTGACAGAAATCAGCCCTAGACTGGAATGAGATGCTTCCATTAATAAATGTAGATAGTACAGAGATGCCTTGATCCAAAAAGGTTGTGCGTATCAATCCTTTTTTTAAAAAAAGTACATTATTTGTATGCTACCCATTTCACCAGGTTCTAGATTAATACATACAAAAACTCTACAAGATTTTTTTCCGACATTTCAGACTCCCACACTGGCAGGTAGTCTCTGTCTCAGGCATACTTCCAGCTTTATAACCATAATCCCATGTAAGTTCAGTTCCAGCTTTTACATGTCTGCAAAGCAAATATGCCATACAATTAGAATAATAGCAAAAATCCATGAGGACTTACACTTACTTTTATGAGTGTACAAATATGGGATGGGGTTTAAGACTGCCAACAAGGCAGCAACAATGTCTGCTCTTCACATAATTTACAGCTATCTTGGTGATAAGAACTGTACACAGTATTCCAAATGTGATCTCACTAGTGCTGTATAAAATGGTACTTCCCATGATCCTGATGCTATCCCTCTTGTTGAAGCAGTTTAGGATTACATGGTCCTTTTTGGCAGCTGCAGCACACTGCTGGCTCATACTCAAGTGGTGGTCCACTAGGACATCCATTCTCCCTAAGTACAGAATCTTACCTTCCTTATCACTGAACTGCATTTTGTTTGTTATGGCCCAATGTTCAAATCTGTCAAGATCCCTCTGTCCTCCAAAGTGTTAGCAATTACCCCTGGCCTGTGATAGTACTAGATTACTGAATTTTAATTTTAAGATTACTAAATTTGAATATCTAGCAGATAGTGCTTAAGTAGCACTAATCAAGATTTCTGTTCTTAACAAAGTTAAACAAACAAATGAAATCATGGTTTACTTCACTTAAGTATGCTCTGTCCCTGGAGATCATGCAGGAGAACATTAGCAGAAAGAATGAAAAGCCAAGGAAATTATTTCTTCAGCAACAACTAACACCGTTATTGGTCTTTAATAATTGTTTACAAACCCACTTTAAAACATGCTTTTTGTCTCTGGTTTCTAATTAATATGATTAACATTTAATAACATCTAAAAGACTCAGAGCATTTACTCAAGGTAAAAGCAGAAGTGTTTAATGTTGCAAAGATAAACATTCTAAGATCTAGTAGCTATTAATCAATATAGACATATACTGCTGCACGCTCAAATCCCAAAATAACTTCATCAGTTCCTTGAAATATCAAGATTTGTTTATTGTGCAGACATAAAAATATATTACTTCAAACTCAATCACTTACACCAGTGGTTCCCAAACTTGGCAACTTTAAGACTTGTGGACTTCAACTCCCAGAATTCTCCAGCCAGCTCTCCACAAGTCTTAAAGTTGCCAAGTTTGGGAACCACTGATTTACGCTATAAAAACCAGACACAATCTTAGAGATGTGTCGTATTTGCGTATAAATGGGATAAAACGCTATTATGTTTTTCTTTCTAATATGGATCAGCAATAACAACATTCCATTTTCTGCCTTCTGTATTGTTCAGTAGAAGATAACCACAGAACAAGTATTCAGTTTTATACCTTTTTTTCTTAGTAGGAATCTTATTTTTGCTCACAGAATTATGCTTAGGATTTGTTAACAAAGAAAAATATGTCAAACCTCTTTGTGAAGAACGCCACCCAGGGGAAATTTCTGTTGTGAGTCTCTACAAAAACACTTTGTACGAAGAGATTAGGAGAGCAGCTGTGCTATAAATAAAATAAATAACAGTTAAAATAGAAGCACCTGTTTTCTTTTAATATACTTTTTGTGCACATTTGGATTATTTCTTTTGGCAAACATACTTTACTTGAGTCAGGTATGAATGCCTGAGCAAACTATTCTTTTCTGTAATGTAACATCATTTCTGTAACATCATTAATGCAAAAAAAAAAAAAGCAAAAGAGGAAATGGTTTTATAAAGGACAAAATCTGTGAATTTATTATCAATAAGTAATAAAACCATAGTGCTGGCTTTTTATATATTTTACATGTTATTTTTTTATTTATTTTGTTAACATATCTTGCTTTTTTTTAGTTGGTTAAAAGTTGTTGTTAGCTCTAACACTTTTGTTGGACTTTTTCAAGTTTTGTGTTTCAAGAAACTGTATGGCAACAGAATTTTAAGGATCCTGATCCTTAGCATTCTTATCAACTCCTCAGACTTAATAGGATCAGGAATCAAACTGTTAGAACACCAGTTAGGGACCTGATATCCTGCCCTATCAAAAGCAGACAGCCCTGCCTTTCACAGTGAATGGTTACACTTAAGATTCTTCTCTGAATTCATTTTGATTATATTTTTCTCTTATCAGCCATAGAATAATTTTTAGTAGTCTCTGTTGGATGAATTTCCTATTTCTTTTTAATTGTTAAATTATACAAGAACTTTATAATTTTGTACCTGGTCCTGGGCTTACTGGGTTAAGAGATTAATGACTCTCCCACTATCCACACTTCTTGGGTGACTTTTCTACCACCGAGTTCAACCAGACCAATAAAAGCAAAAGCAAAATTGCTCCCAGAGAAGCCAACAAGTAGAATAAACTTCAAAGGCCAAAGGCAACTACTTCTATTCCAACAGTAACAACACGATGAAGAATAAAAGGAGGGGAAGAGACCATAAACCTCATCTTAGGACCTCTTCACATCAAGTCCATTCCTCCATTTCAAATCCTAACCTTTTTCCTGGCTCCACTCTTCAGCCCTATTTCCTTACAGTGGACATAATGGCTTAGCAAAATATCATTAATTACATACTGAACGTATTTATTTATTTACCCACTCATTTATAATTATCATCCACTTTTGCATTTGGTTATTCTTATCACTGGCTTCTAAATATAAGGCTGAAAAGATTTTCCAATATTTACAAGTGAATTGTAGAATATAAAACTAAAAAATAACTGGTTTACTTCTATAAATTGGTGGATAAGTAAGAGCTACAGACTTTAACTGTTTATATCATATTTGTTAAATACAAAAACAGATTGAAAGTTGTAAAGCTGTTACACTGCTCCTGAAGACTGCAGACAGATGCTGAAGGTTCTCAGTATAAGAGCCGTGGTGGCGCAGTGGTTAGACTGCAGTACTGCAGGCTAATTCTGCTGACCGCCAGGATCGTCACTGGCTCAAGATTGACTCAGCCTGCCATTCTTCCAAGATCAGCAAAATGAGGACCCAGATTGTTGGGGGCAATAGGCTGCCTCTGTAAACAGCTTAGAGAGGGCTGGAAATCACTGTGAAGTGGTATATGAATCTAAGTCTAAAGTGCTATTGTTATTACTATTTCAACACATAGCAAGCAAAACTGTTAACATTTTTCAAAATTAGAGTAATATTAATTATGAAAAGATACCTGATATCTTTTTCATAGGAAAATAACTTGATCCATTTCAACTGGAATTCAGGCCTGAGTAGGAGACCTTGATGAATGCACTTTTGTATAATCTCTCGTAGGATTAGAATGGGGATAGTACACCCATCCTTGCTATTCTTGACCTTAGTGTTATTTTGATACTATCAATCACAGAATCGTTCTGGACCCCCTCTGGGAGATGGGGGTGAGTAGCACAGTGTTTAATATCTACATGAAGCCACTGAGTGAGGTCATCTGATGTTTAGAGTGAGGTATCCTGTGAGAGCCAGATTGGTGTGATGGTTAAGGAACTCAGAAACCAAGGAACTATTTTTCTGGTCTTGTCTTAGGTACATTTGGGTGACCCCTTTTTCTTAGGGAAGAAGTTATGGTTCAACCCAAGTAAGACTTAGTGGCTTTAAGGTTTTGAACATTCTCAGGCTAAGGGTCTTCCATTTTTTATTCTGGATGAGGTGGCACTGCCTCAAATAGATATCATGAGCAATATGGAGGTCCTTCTGAGTTCACAACTTCTTAAAAGAGCTGGGAGAACCTTTTCTCACTTTCAGGTTGTGCATCAGTTGTGCCTGTTCCTGGATTGGGAGGCCTTGTTATTCATTCCACAATGACCTGTCTGGACTACCACAATACTCATTACTTGGGGTTGCCCCTGAAGAGCATTTGAAAGCTTTAATAGTTGCAGAATGTGGCTGCATGTACAGTAAACCAGTGCATGTGAGCTGTACTGGTTGCCAGCTCAACCAGTGTGCTTTCAGATACAATTCAAAGCGCTGGTTATCTTCTTTAAACCCCTACAGGGTTTAGGACCTGGTTACTTAAAGGAACGTTTTCCTGTTGTTTCTACCTGACTGGCCAAGCAGGATGGGCATATTCTGGGTCCTGTCAGCTAAGGAATGTTGGTTGTCAGGGCCCAGAAGGTATTCCTGTAGTGCCCATAGTATTGAATATTCTCCCTCTGGAGATCAGGATGTCCCCATCTTTACTGGCCCTTTCATAAAGTTCTGAAGTCCCAGGACCCTGAGTCTGTGAAGGGACACATCTCCTGGTTGTGTTAGTGATAGCTGCATTTTTCTTGGCTGCTATGTATTTTAATTTTTATAGTTGTGATTGTATATTTTTGAGCTTTGATTTTAAATATTGCTCGCTGGCCAAAGCTATTGGCTCAGATAGGTGGCTATATAAACTGAAACAAAAGAAGTAAAGAAATACAACTTACATTAAGAAACCTGCCTACATTGCCTTCCCTTGTGGCATCCAGCAAACAAGGATTTTCTTCATTCTTTGGGCAGGTCTCAATTTTTGCTGCCTCCTGCATACAAGACAGTTCCTGCCTGTTTCTCTGAGTTTTTCCCTTTATTGTGCTGTCTGATTCAAGTAGGTCTTTATGTTGTTTTTTCACTTCTTTGTCATCTTCCATAGGTAGTTTACTTTTCAATACAGCATCAGAAAAGAGATTCTCTTTATGGCAATCAGTATTAGCTTCAGAACTTATGGTGTTTACCAATTTCTCAAATTCTCCTTCCAGGCTTGATTCTGTAAAGAAGCATTTCAAGATTAGAATGATTTAGGAACATCTCACAGTCACACCTTCCAGTATCTAGTATAGATGCTCTGATTTAGATTTGCTAGACCAATTGATTAAAATATTATTTTTGAATCCGAAGCTCTATCAGATTCAGAGCACGATCATGGCGATACCTAAGTTTTCAGTATTTGGATCAAAGGGCAAAGCCACTTTGCATTTGCTGTGAATACTGTGCTTTATCTGTTGGCAGCTGCTTACAGGAGATTCACTTTTCCCAGAAATAATGACAGGGTAATGTCATTGTGCTATCTCTGTTTCCTGAGTTCACATATACAAATCTAGGAAAAGGCACAAGTCCTTCAAGGAACTGCCAACAAATAAGGTGTGAAATACCTTATTTTCTCTGGATTAAAAACTGTGTATCTCTGATAATGGCTTATGCTCAGAAAAAAAACCTGCATCTTAAGACTCATGTCACGTATTACATAGCAGATCCCACATATGCCTGCTAAATATACGTATACTACCCCCATAGCAAGAAGTTAGTTTTGTGTTCTAGGCAGCTATGCTGAACTGTCCGAAATAACTAGATCATCACTGCTCAAAAACTCTTCAAGTCAGAGTATCAGGGAGGTAATATTTGAGGCTATCTGCCTACCAAAGGTAAGAAATCATGGCAAAGGCTGAATATGATATTAATAGAATATTATAGTTTTTTCTGTGCTGATAAGAATTTTTCATGCTTTTACATTTCAGCATTATTTTTATTCAGTTTTCTTTTGACTTTATTAATTGTAGTACTTTTAACTCCTTAATAGTGATTTTGGGATATGCAATTTTATTGTCAAATTTGTTGTAAAGGAAAAAAAAAGGTGCAACATTACGTTTATCTCCTTTTTCGGTTGCTGGAGTTATTCTTCTTGTTCCTGACACCTGACATAAAGAACTCTCATCTTCATCAGAGCTGGCATCAGTAATTCCCTTTGAAAAAAGAATCTAGTAAGAGTAGATAAACTAGGAACTTTAATCCTGGATTTCTTTTGTTGGTTTGTCAGATTTTGATCTTTTTCTAGAAGCCATCTGGCTTTCTTGGGTCTTGGATACAACAAATACATTTTCTGATTTTCATACAGCGCCACAGGACATGTTGAGCAAGGGTGAAGTAAGGTAAATAAAAAATTAACTGTAGGAGACTCTCCTGATTGCCAATCAAACCCAAATATTCTACTTAGAGAATTCCAGATTGGAAACTGAGAATTCCAGTACGTCCAGCTTCTGAGTGCAATTCAAAGTGCTGGTTGTTAAATTTGTTGGAAGGACAAATTTAAAAGTAGCTTCAGCAAACAGTGCTATCCTAAAATAATCTTTCTCAGACACTCTTATTTCTCCTAACTACAAAGGTGCATGAAATGTTTCAAACTCAGAAATGTTCAAATGCAAAACAGCCTTTTCAAATTTGAACTGGACTACTACAATTTCATTTGCCAGTTCAATGAAATGTTGGAGCACATTCATTAAGGTGAAAACAGCTTGATTTAATCTCAAGACAGTTATTTCAAGCTCAGAATAATTGACACATATCTACACAATACAGGTAGCCCTTGACTTGTTACCATTAGTTCAGTGACCTATCCAACTTACAACAGCACTGGAAAAAGTCATTTACAACTGTTACTTACTTTTATGACTGTTGCACCATCCCCATGGTTGGACACTTGGCAACCATGCATTGTATATGATGGTTGCAACCTCCTAGGTTCACATGATCGCCATTTGTTACCTTCTCGGCTGGCTTTCGACAAATAAAATCAATGGAGGAAGCTGAATTCACTTAACCATGAGATTCACTTAAAAACTGCAGGGATTTGCTTAACAACTGTGGCAGAAGAGGTCATGACTCATTTAACAACCATCTTGATTAGCAACAGACATTCTGGTCCCAATTGTGGTAATTTATTATCTTTAATCTCATCAAAATATGTATATATATTCTGGGGGGAAGAGAAGGAAGAAACAGTGCAGGATAGTTCATTAATTCTAGTAACTTTAAGATACATGGACTTCAGTTCCCCAAATTCCCCAACCGGCATGCTGAAGTCTACATATCTTAAAGTTGTTGAGGTCGAGAAATACTGTGGTACTGTATTATTACTCACTGAGCAAAGTAAGATCTTCCCTAATTACATGGCTACCAAATTTAGAAACAGAACAGATTTGAAACATTTGAAGTATAGATGAAAATAAAGTAAAAAGCCAACAAGGCAGTCCAAACATAAATGCAGAATATTTACTAGTTCTTGCCGGTGTCTTTGAAGAAGGGATGTTTTACTTTTAGGTCTTGCAATGGTATGTACATTCCAATTCTTGCATGAAGTGTAGTTTTGAATTCTGCTAACAGAAACATGGTTTTATATAGCATACGTTAAAGCAGAATTCTTTAAACTATTTTTTAATTATTAATTGTAATAATTGTCCAAATAATTGTTTACAGCAAATCCCTTGTCATCTTGGGAAACTTTTTGTAGTGGTAAATGCTACAAAGATTACAAATTTACTGAAACTTTTTTTTTATGTAAACAGACTCACAGATCCACTTGGGAGTTTCTTCCACTTGGAAAATTTAGCATATTCTACTGAAATAAAAGAATTTGTATAATATTAATTTTTGTCAATTGAACTATGTTGAAAGCCCAGCTTCTACTTAATTTGAGAAGGTTTTGGAACTGCTGTAATAAGGGGCATCACCACACTGTTTAATATTATGATTTTCATTTTTATGTTGTAAGGCTGAGGTGAGGATTAAACATCAGGAGAGATTAGGGTTAGGGTAAAATGAACAAAGGAATAGTTTGGGTAAAGGGTAGATTCATCCATAGTGGGATTTAAGACTAAAATTTGTCTTGAAAGAAATCAGCCATTTGCCTCAAGCACATGTAAAATAATATCAACTTCCTAATACTACTCTCAGTATTCTGAACACATAATTCTGAGTTGGGTTGTATCTTCTCTGGGTCCAACAGGTGGGCTTAATTTCTTTCTCTTTCTTTACTACCACCAAAGAACCAGATACTCCAACAAACTCCTTCCTCATTACTTAATCTCAAGAGGAGAGGAGGCATGCTTACTCAGAGTAATTGTGTATATATTCTGATTTAACATGAATTTTTAAATGCTTGTATTGTTAGAGGTACACATTACATGTTTATGGTGTTAATGAGTCTCTACTAGATGGGCCATAAAAGTGGCTCTATCCAGATTCAAACAGTGAAGGGAGGCTGACTATTTAAACATGTAACTGTTGTTAACTTACTGATTTGGTTGACTTTCAGCATTCAGATGTAAAGAATGTTTTCTTCCAGTGTCCTGAGTAGGTTCATTCTCTGAATCAGAACAGACTGTATCCAGTTTTCTCTTTCTTGAAAATAAACTCTGGTTGGTATTCTTGGTAACTTCTTCAATTTCACCACTATTTTTACCCTGGTAATGTTCATCTCTGGACATCAATTTCCCTAGAATAAAATACTGTATTTATGACATTTATGCCCCAAGTATGGCAGTAAAAAATTTACTTAAGGAGGGTAAAAAGAATATCTCAGATATGCCTAAAGTGAATCTCCCCTTGCCCTACTGATTTTATATATTAGACAGTGTAAATCTAAATTCTGGATAGGAAAACAACATTTAATGTTAATTTCAAATTACATTATTTTGTACCATTCCCTTCAATCGTAATCGCTGACAGTAAAAACTGATAGAACTCAAGTCTATTTGGGATAACTGAGAAACAAGAAACCCCATTAACATATTGCTGCAGCAAGCAAATTGAAACCTCCCACCGAAACAAAACAGCTTGAACAAGACAGATTAGTGAGGACATACTTGAATATTTTTCTCCCTCAGACAGCAATCTTAAGTGGTTGAGTGCTTAGCTACTTGCTTAAGTGACATTTGGATGACCTGGAAGTGAAACCAGATCATCCAAAAATAAAGAAGTGATTTCTACTCCGGAAATACAGTTCTACTTCTACATTCAAGATTAATAGGTATAAATATGTCTGCAAACTAAAATTTCAAAAATATATGCATAACTTTAGAAGAACTTCTGAGTTTCCAGGATGCTAATGTCAGGTGTGGGTAAACGGAAAACTGTAAGGGACTAAAATAGCCCTACAGGGAGTGATTAGTAGAGCCTCCCTTTTAACAGATGATAATGTACTGAAATATTTTATTAATTCTATTTGTGATTTTCCTAACAAAGAATGTTCCAAACCAACTGGAGAATTTCATTAATTTCAAAGCTCTAAAATATAATTTGTTAATGAAACAGCCCCCAAAAGTTTCAGTGTAGTATTCACTATGTCTTGGGCATTTCTTTGGGGGTGGAGAGAAGGGAATTTTATATATTTAAGAATTATAATATAATATCCAATTAAAAAAAATATAATATCACTGATAGCTATAAAAGGGGACATAACAATGACTGAAATAAAGCTGTTTAAAATGCTAGGTTAAAACTGTTGATGGTTAAGACACCAGGCTAGAAACCTGGAGACAGTGAGTTCTAGTCCTGCCTTAGGCATGAAAACCAGCTGAGTGACTTTGGCCTAGTTACTCAGCTCAACTCACCTTTCAGGGTTATTGTTGTTGGGAAAATAGGAGAAAGAAGGAACATTATGTATATTCACAGTCTTGAGTTACTTATCAAGCAATAAAGGTGGGAAAATAAAATTATAAAATAAAATAATAAAATTAAATTAAATACAAAATAAAGTAAAATAAAAATACAAAATAAAATGAAATAAAAATAAATAAAATAAATAATAAAATAAAAAATTTAGTTCTCTAGACCGCTTAGCAGAGAAAATATTGCCTAGTCAGGACAAGTTGCTAGACAAGATTCTTTTTAAGTAAAATAAAATCACAACTGGAATACTGATTTCTTTAAACACTTTTTAGAGGTAAAGCATCTATTTGAAATACCCAATTAACTACATAGCCTGAAAACAGAAGAAATGGTAAAATTATTCCCACGGAAACAAATTAACCTCAACGAATACCTATGCAAATATTAATTCTACAGCGGAATCATAATATTCAGTACTGAAACGTTCAGTGATTACTCAATCTTTTGTGTTTATGTGTGTGTATGGATAATATGCGCATGTGGACATATACATATAAAATAAAATCATCTGTACTTAAAATAAAATTTTGCTCTACCTGCATAGATACAAACAAATGTTCCCTTGTCAATGTCATCAAGGCAGCGAACTCCCCAGCCCTTCTTTTCAGTGCTGAAGACTTGTAAGCGAACTTGAAGGCCATGCTGTACCAATCTGTTCTGGCACATGTTCTTGTCACAGCTGCAGAGGAAGCTACATTCATACACTCTGATACACAAAAAAAGATAAAGGAGGATTATGGGGGAAAGCATCAAAGTTTGTGTGAGCACAGACAGATAAACAAACACACACACACATATTCACTCCTTTGGGTCTTCCAATATGAATGCTGCTTGCTTGAACAGAAAAAGATAACAATTGGCATTCCTGGGTAATGCATTTATTTATTGTGTCTTTTGTTTTAACCACTATTGCAATTCCTTAGCAGAGAATGTATTTACTGATACTTAGTTTCAATACAGAGACACAATGTAGTGCAGGTAGTTCTTGACTTATGACCACAACTGAGAATTTCTCTTGTAGAGTGCTCCATCGCTGGAGGTTCTCAAGAAAAGACTGGACAACCATTTGTCTGGGATGCAATAAAAACTCCTGCAATGAACCCTGTAGAGGGTTGTGCTAGAACACCACCAAGGTCCCTTCAAATCTTATGATTCTATAAGTCAATGCAGTCATCATATGGCTAGACCTGATTTTACAACTATTTTTACCCCAGATATTAAGGGAATCATTGCGGTCATTTGACAAATCTGACTTCCCCAATTGACTTTGTTTGTTAGAAGCTGGTTGGAAAAGTTGAAAATTGTAATCACATGACTACATTTACCATGTGTAAATGCAAACTAGGTGCCAAGCAACTGGATGATGATCACTAACTATGGGGATGGTGCAACGGCTGTAACTTTGAGGATAGGTCATAAAGCACTTTCCCCAAGGCTGTCGTAACTTCAAACCATTGTTAAATGAATGATAAGTCAAGGATATCAGGCATGTTCAAAACAAACACTGACCAAAACCCCCATATCTTTACAACCTTTTATTTTAGAATGCTCCTCATATAAGTAATAAAGAATAGGTTTACATATAATTCAAATAGGTCAATTTGGGACAATTAAAATGCTATAAAAACTGCCTTCAGGTCCAAACCTGGGTTGCAAACACATTAAGCTATAACCATCTGAGAGCACCAGGATATCCAGGCTCCAACCTAGATTTTTCAACACGTTGCATTTCCTCCCCCTTTAGTTCCTTGGCAAAATGAGAAACAAATTTTCTAATAATTATAAACTATTATTTAAAAGGGAGAGACAGTTTGGTATAATGAGGAAGCACCAAGCTAGGAACCAGGAGACTATGAATTCCAGTCCCGCCTTAGATATGAAGCTAGCTGGGTGACATTGGCCAGTCTCACTCTCTCAGCCCTAGCAGGAAGCACAAACCACTTCTTAAAAACCTTTCCAAAAAAATCTGCAGTCTGGTATCAACCCTGACTCAAATGCACCAGAATAATAGTAGTAGTACTGATAGTAATATCTGCAGCTGTATGGAAAAACAATCAGAAATTCACTACTCAATACCACCTATATATACAGTAGAGTCAATTGGAGCACAATTTGAATGTCATCAACATTGACAAAATCAGCATTGACAAAATCATTAGTCAATTGTAAATTGCAATTCCAATTTACTTGGAACAGCTTATAGCCTTATATCTTTATGCCTTTAATATCATTAAACAGCAATAGATGCCTATCCTGGGTCCTTGGGAAGGCCTCATGGATGGAGAAGAATGCCAAACCCAGTCTAAATATCTGCCTGACTGTGTGACCAACCATAATAATATAAAACAGCAATGCAACAGAGTTTATATGGGTGAAACATGTGAGTAAATTAGATACAATGTTAACAAGTATCACAAACTTAACCATAGTATTCCTTACCCACTGGAAATAGGTTCCTCCAGCCTTTTATAAGTATAACCGTGAGATGGTCCATTTCTTTGAGACATAGAAGTTTTCAAGAAGGCTCCTTTAGTAAGAAGCAGGCACGCACATTTTGTCCTAGAAAGCACACAGTAGATCTAGTGGAAATAAGGATATGAAATAATGCAACATGACCCATTTATCCCCTGGATTCTGGTGTGATGATAACATTTTCAGAGAAAGCAAACATATTAAGTGCTTTCTCTGGTATTTTCATTTAGAATTTTGATGGGCTTCTCCACCGATGGCCATATTTGCTTAAGTTTAAAAATTAAGGCTTTCAACAAATAATTCCTTTACAATGCAAGCTGACCTTTCCCCTTTAAATAGGACCTTTCAAGGTTCTGCATATTTTGTAAACAAAATAATCACGTGTCCCTGTTTGATCTCAAATCTTGTAGACACCACAGATACCTTTAACAAGCCATTATTTTAAAGAAATATACTTCGGCACTCCATTATTTCATCACTACACCCATACTTAAAATACAAACTTTATTCAAAATGCTGCTTAAAAATGGATAATTATTCACCTGTCAATGCAGCCATCGGTACAGTTGCAGGAGTCAAGAAAACTGCTGGAGAAGTTATTCAAGAAGTATCCATGTGGCCAAGAGGTCTTCCGGTATTTAAAGCAAGGCAGCCGATCATGGCTGATATCATTACAGAATGACACTGGTACAGTCTCTGCCCCTTGGCTGATATCTGGATCAGTGACAAATGCCCGGGGACTAGAACTGCTTCTGTATACCTGCACGTAGGTATTGAAAGAAAAATGATCTAAAAATAAAAAGCTGCATTCTGTTTGAAATAAGTAATTCTGCACGTCTTTAAAATTTCTCAAGCTCTTTCCACAAGGAGCTTTGTATAGCACATCGTGTGGTTTTGAGCCAGAATCAGCTTTGGCATGCCATCTCTGGAAGTGACACAGCATTGGCAACTTCAATGGGTTTTCTTCTTTGTAGGAATTCCATGGTCTTTTGGAAAGACATTTCTTAGAACAGACATGATCCTGGTAGTACTTGGAAGATGTATCTGTAGATTCTCCTTCAGTTCTTAAATCCATTCCCTCATCAATTTCCAGTCTGCCGTTTATAGCCGTACATGTAAAAAAAATTTTTTTTAAGTGTCAAGCAATCAGTGAGATGTTACAATTTGCTCATACATAATATTGTTCAGTGAATCTGATAACTCAATCTCTCCATGTTTGATGCATGCTTTTTAAAAATCCTACCCTCACAGCAAAGGGGAATGTGCGTGACAACTGCCTAAGATGGTATATAATCTCAGTGCAACAGGAAAAAAAAGAGTGGCAGATAGCTATTGTATTATGGTAACTGAACCCCTTAGAGCAGTGTCAAACTTGTAGCTTGCAGGCTGGACGCGTCATGTGCTGGCCCCGCCCCCGCCCAGTTTAGTGAAAGGGGGGAAGTCCCAATATGTCATGTGACGCCACCATGACGATGCAAGTTTGACACCCCTGCCTTAGAGATTCTATGTTGGATTCACCTTTAGGTAGACTAAAATCTGGACAGAGGTACTGGTTATTTATTATTCAGGCAGCTTTCACCATCAGTTATTTGCATTAAGAAAGCAACACAATGATCTTAATCCAATAATATTTATAAATTGAACTTCTACAATTTTCTCTTAATCTATATAAGTAACTGCCTTTTATATTGTTAAGTTCTACTAAGTTTTATCTAAAAACAACACAAAACACTGAAAAAAACCCCAACCGAATTCCATCAATCTTTTCTAAGAAGGATACAAATATGTTTATAAGGATTCTTTTGTCACATTATCATTGATAGTAAGTTTTAAGGACATAAAAAGTGCAATATTATTATTGGTATTGTCAAATTAATGAGCAAAAGCTAATCTGGGCTGAACAACTACCTGCCTAAATAGGGGAATAGCCCATTTATCTACAAATCAGAGAACTATACCTACATAGGGTGTTTGCTGATGTAGGAACAGATTTTGCCTAAAAGGAACTGATTAAGACTCATCCAAATAATGAGAGAGTTAACTACTGTGAAAAAACTTATTCTGGAAATTAAGCCTGTGCAATCCCGAACTACTCCAATTCTGGACTGCAGGCAATACTGTGTCCAGATGCTCAACAGGAGACCATGAACTCTGCCCACCTCCCCACTTTTCTTTCTTTTGGGCTCTATTCCTGTGTTGGGGAAGGAAGATGTGCCTCACATAGACTCCTGTGCGCCATTAGTGACACATGTAGCCATTCGCTGAGAAATACCACAGAGATCTCAAAAGTGCTGTTTTGAAAAGGACTGTTTTTTCCTTGAGGAAAAAAAGGATTTTTCGCTTCTCATCCAAGAAACTTAATCGTTTCTGGCAGGATGACTGAGAATCTCCAGACAATGACACAGAGAATTGCTATAACTATGCTGACATATGCTGATTGGGCAACACAGACTTTCTCATAAAGATTCAAGGCAAGTTCCTCCACCAATTATCATAAAATGTTCAGCAATGTTTAGCTATGCAGCCTTAGTATCCAAAAGAAGTATGTATTTGCCATTCAAAGGACATTTCAATTTCTAGAAAAAGACAGGGCAGGGAGAAAAAGGTTTAGGAGAGCAGGCAGTAACCAGGAAGATGAATTAGAGAAGTGCAGGAGAGGAGGGCATAAACTGAAAACAATCTAAAATGAGAAGGTAAAATAAGATCCAAAATAGACAAAAAGATAGAGAAATAATGGGAAAGGCTGAAATTCATATTCAGAACAGTCATTTTGACTGATGTGCTCTAATCTGTTTAGTGTACTTTACTTTCCAAATGAAGTTTCAACTTGAACATCTAAGATATAAAAACAGCAAAAAGACAATTTATGTACTTATAAAGTTTTACTTACAAAGAAAAATCATCTCCAGCATCTTCTGTAATTTTCCCTGGAGCAGACAGAGGTAAATCCAGATTGCACATATTCTTATTTTCTTTAACAACAGGAAAAATAACATAAAAACTTATACTTTTATTAAAAAGTATACATTTAAAATCACATTTTAGAGTTATCACAATTATGCATTTAAGAAACTATTAACTGCATCATTAAGATTAATGTTAATGCAAATATAGAAACAGTCAAGCAAAAAGTATTTAAAATGTTAATTTATTATTGTAATATAATACAGAAGAGGAATTCACTTTTTCTTCCTCATCTCAGATTTCATTATACAGCCCACCTCCAGTGCACATAAATTAACCTGTCACTATCACGCTTACAAAAGCTGGAGATGCATGCAGAATGAAACTGTTATTGTAAAAACTTGGGGATTAGAGAGCAAACCATGATGTCCCCACTCCAACTCCATAAAAACATTTGCACAGGATGGAGTCTGGTGGTTTTACCTATCTGAAGGGCAGAGTTTGCGCTGAAATTCTTTTAGACATCAAGCTTAAGGACAAAATAGATGCAACACATTCCTCTTATATTTGATGCACCAGTAAGAGCACTCTTTGTCCTGTTCAAGTGATGAACAATAGATAAAGATAGCTTTTAGTAAAACAACAATAAGTGTTAAAAGAGGTAAACCAGCAAGAATTTGACTCCATAATATTCTGCTAACAGAGGTCTGTCGATTAGTAAATCCACAGACATGTATCATTGGAAAAGCAACTGCTTCACATGTAAAAGCCATCTCCACTAAAAAGATCAGGCAGTGTGCTAGGTAAATTCTTCTATCCAAACTCTGGAAGTGCTTGGTAACAATGAACTAGACAACAGATCATTCTGATCCAATTCAGGGGAATTACATATGCCTTGCTACAGGAGATGGTGAAATATTAAATGGACTGGCTTCAGCTTTCTCAAAATGTTTACTAGAAAGCTTTTGATCTGTCACAATAAAATTTGAATTTGGGTCCCTCATAAAATATGACTATGTCACGTTTATGTTTTGTGAAAAATTAAAAACATAAGTACCCAAGTATTGAATCTGCTGGAATGGAAAATCCAATAGAGAGTAGACAATAGGAATCAGGCTCAATTTCCTTATAGAAAAATCAAGCAAGAGCCAATATGTGAGGAAAAGTAATTCCTCAGGCTTTTTTCTCTGGCTAGGTAAGAGGCTAATGCCTATAGAAAGGAAAAAATGTCATCATCTGTTATAACAAAGCAATGAGATTTTTCATACCATGCGCCAGGGTTAAGAGGTCAGTCATACCCAGCTGGTTCACAAGTGCCAAAGCTTGATTGCATTCTGTTCAAAATAACAAAAACAGAAAACTGCACTCAGATATAGCATTTTAAAATGATGTAGATGTTAATAAACAGTAAAATGGTCCTTTTGATTGATATCTCTTAGCTGAAGTCCTCCATACATTTTGAGACTTAAGTGTGATTCCCAACCACTTATAGTCTGTTACATACTTAGTATCAAATACAGGTACATATTTTGGAACAAAGAAGCTCCATATGTGCAGATACATTTTTCCTCCTACTTATTTTCACAGAATTGCAAGGAGCCACCAAGATCAACAAATTTGTTCACTGCAGAATCTAAATTAAAGTATAAGTATAATCTTTATTGTCATTGTACTTAAATACAACAAAATTGGTTGTAAAACATTCCTATTAAAGACCAAGAGAGCCAGTTTGGTGTAGCTGTTAGGGCCCAAGACACAATCAAGAGATTGTGCCTTCGGTATGAAGCCAACTGGGTGAGTTTGGGCCAGTTACTATTTCTCCACCCTATGAAGGCAGCAATAGCAAGCCATTTCCCAAAAACCTTTTGGGTCAAAATGGGTTGAGTACCAAATTTGATGAATTTCAAAGCAGTCGAGTACAAAGGTACCACTGTAGTAGAAATAAGATTTGCTTACTAAATTCAGCTGCAATCTCTGCATGACTGTTGTATTCAGTTCTAAACCTAACCATTACAAATTATTGCAAAGTTGTCTGCATAGGACAGATTACTTAATATCACAAATTATACCTGCAAAACTGAGTATGAGTTTTGTTTCACTAATTTCTCAATTTAGGTGTGATAGTTTAGAAAGATGTCTAACCTTCACTTGTTGCAGTTCCATCTTTGATCTTCTGTTGCAAAGACAACAGTGCCTTGTGCATACACTCAAATATATTGTCTACTTTGTTTTTTTCCATGTGCTTCCAGAGCCTTTCTGCGTCAACTATGAATAAATAAAAAGTTTACATTTACATTTCGGGTGACAACTGACATCTTAATCCTACCTCACTTCCTAGTATGGATTAGCATAAATATCTATGAATGTGTACTACATAAATATGGCATAGACTTAAAAAGAAGAGGGTACAGTATGCAATATGTATAGTGCAGAGAAAAGAAATGATTCCCTGAATGCTACAATTTACCCAACAGTGAAAAAGGGTGGAAAATTCAAAACAATACAAGATACTTTTTAAAAGCATATGTAAAATTACGGAATTTATCTGGGGAGGGAAGAGAAATGATGTAGGATGGTTTTAATAGAAGATAAGCAGCGTGCATTAAATATAGCATAAAATCATGCTTTAAAAATAGAAGGCTATCAATCATTTCCATATCTGTGACTAAAATGCATGCATGTCTTGGATGTTATTATGTCTATTGCTAATCGGTGCCCAAAATATATTGAGTTAATATGTATATATCAGATTAAAGGGAGCGTTTATAAAAAGAAATACATTTCGTTTCAAAGGCAGCGTCTCAAGCGCGGCCCTTTCACCTTACAGCAACCCTCCCTCGGTCCCGGTTCCCGCCACTCGCTACCTTTCATCGCGTCGGCTTTTCCTTGAACGGCCCAGGCCTCGCCCGCAAACGCCGCCCCGGCAGGGCTGACGCGCAAAACAGCAAAACCTGCAGCACCCGGAGCTCCACGTCACCAGTGCCCAAAAGACAAAAAGCCGGGAGGGAGGGGAGCGTTCCTCCCGTTAAGTCCGTCGTCCGCACCAGCGTCCGAGACAGCGCGCGGGAACGGCGGCCGAAAGGCAAGAACTGGGCAACAAAAATCTGGCGAGGAGCTTTCAGGGCACCACCCCTTTTGTCGGAAATGACGAGCACGTCTCGGAAACCACGGGAAAGCTCTTCAAGAGCTCCGCGATAGGTTATATTAGTGTCCGCTTTATTGCAGGTTAAACAGGCGATTCCGAGTAAGTATTGGCTTCTTTTATAAATGCCCCAGCAACTACAATACGAGGCCGTATGCCAGCGGGCAGAGTCTTCATATAGCGGGACACGAGGCCGCCGCTGAAAAGACTCGATTTGAAGCAATCCCGTGAAGCGACGCCGTTTGAGAGGAAAACCCGCTCTGCATCTTCAGACAAAATGCTTTAAAATCTTTAATGCTTTAAGAAATGTTTTAGCATTTCAAATAGGAGGGTTCCCCCACCCCCTTTTAATTATTATTACAGTATAATAGCTCCTGTTGAAGTAGCAGGACTATGAACTGTTTAGGAATCAAATCAGGTATAGGATGCAAAAACATTGGGTGGCAGAAATTTTTTTGGGAAACCAAAGTAGAGGTTTTAACACCTGAATTGCAAAAACCTGTATGGACAGCAAACGGAAGCAAAGAGACACAAAAGCAGGCTGCTCTTGGTATCTAAAGTTTTCCAGACCTGGCCTAGCCAAAAACAGACCACAACTTACCCATATATGAATTACACAAGGGATGCAGTGGATACAAATAACACCTGATAATTGCAGCAAAACAAAATACAATTGCTGCTCATTATATATTGTTGGAAGAAAAATCCATCTGGTTCAGTTCCAAGCTGGGAGAAAGACGCTGGAAATAACATGGAGGCTGATTGGAAAGAAAGACTGTTTATTGATCAACAGAACCACACCACGCAGTTTGTCTGTTTTTATTATTTGATTGGTTTTATTTGTTTTGCCAAGGCTCTGGATGGGTCTTAATTATGACTTCCTTAGTCCCAATCCTGTAATTGATTTTATCCTGTTATCTATTGCAGCCTGCCTGCCTACCTTTCTAAGTGGACAGGTACTGTTTCCACTTTTCCCAATGAATGGGGTTAAGGTCATGTCTTGTCCTTAATTCCATCACCTGGAAGTGAAGGTATTTTGTGAATAGGCTGGCCCAAGATTTCTTAATGGGCATCTGCTATAGGCTATAGAGGCTGCTTGAGCATGTTTCTCCATTTCTCCCTTTTGGGAAATAATATTCTTCTTTCAAATTATTCCCCAAAATATTTCATTCTTGGGCAGGGGCTTCCCAAAATATGTGATTAAAAGTTCAGCACAAAGGCACAAGAGCCAATCAGTGCCTTTAAAAAGCATATGCAAAGAACATGAAGTCAGTAGCCCGTAGCAACTAATTTTGTTTTATGCCAGTGGTTCCCAAACTTGGCAACTTTAAGACTTGTGGACTTCAACTCCCAGAATTCTCCAGCCAGAGCTGGCTGG